GGGTATAGGGGTAATGGGACTCTGGTTGGGCTTGGTGTGAGGTCCAGATGCTGGGGAATTGGGACTTCATAGGATAGGGGGTCCAGGTGCAGCTTGCTGGGGCTCAGTGGGGTGGGGGTCAGGATGTGGGGGCTTGTTGGATGAGTCCAGGTTTAGGGAAGCAGGACTTATCAGGGTGAGGGTTAGATGGGGCTGGGGGGACACTGCATGCCGGACACTTGCTCCCCTCCCCCGTTCCTCATCCCCTTTTTTTCTTCATCTCCCTCCCTTCATTCCCCTCACTTCCCATTCCTTCCCCACTTCCTCTTGTGTATGGTCCTTGTAGGTTCAGGGGTGCTGCTGAAGGGACTCCCTGCTGCTCTGCCTTCCCAGCTGCCCTAGGTCCTGCCTGAACCATGCTAACAACATTCCACAGCAACCCCACTGTGCAAGTTGCAGACACGGGGGTGGTGGGAGGGAGAGGGCAGGCCCAGCAGCCCCAGCACTGAGTAAGGAAGGCAGAGCCTCCCTCTGCCTTACAAACCAGACACCCATGTCTACACTGAAACTTAGGTCAGCTTTACCCTATAGCAATGTAGCAAGGTCAACCTAAATTTTAGGTATTGACCAGTTCAGTTTAGGATGAACAGATGTCCCAAATTTATAGGAACAGTCCTGATATTTGGGGCTTCATCTTATATAGGTGCCTTTTATTCCCACCAGTGTACCCTATAAGCTGTGTGCTTGTGTGGCCATTCAGGAGAGATTCAAATACAACCTAGTTGATAAGCAGCATGCCCACTGCTAGGTTTTATATTTCCATTTTTGGCACACATGCCTCACTGCACATAACATATTTCGCACATAGAAAAGATTAGAGGGAACATTGCTCCCCACGCTATCCCAATTTTTCACACTTGCTGTGTGGTCACCCTTGTTTGGTGCCAATTGTGGTAACAGATTTTGTGTTGTGCCCTCCACCCGCATGAAAATACAGTAGTATAGTAGGCACACGTGGTTCTTATTACTACAGTATCTGAGCACCGCATACTCTATAATGTATTTTTCCTCACAGATGGGTTGAGGTAAGAAAGTGATATTATCTCTGTTTTACAGCTGGGGAACAGGAGCATGAAGAATCTAAGGTCATACAAGAAGTCTGTAGAGGGTGCATCTGCACAGCACCTGAAACTTGAAATAAGATGCGCAATTTGTGCTGTGCACATTGTATAGCTTATTTCGAGTCTATTTTGAAATAGTTTATTTCATCTACACAGGGCCACATTTCGAAATACAGCACTATTTCAAGCCATCCCTTACTCCTCGTCCAATGAGGTTTATAGGGATGGCAAAATAGCACATCTGCTATATCTTGAAATAGCGGACGCATTCAAAAGACATGTATTCTGAAATAACTTTGCTGTGTAGACATACCCTAGCAGAGCAGGGAATTGAACCTAGGTCTCCTAAATTCCAGGCTAGCACCCTAACCGATGGGCAGTCCTTCCTTTTGTTTCACATGAGCCAGATGATGAATAATTTTTGCATTAAACATTCTAATTTTCCTGTGCTATCATCATATTTTGGTTATAATAAAACATTTCTATAGCCCATTAGTACATAATATTGGCAATTTCAGCTAACAGATCAATAATTATTTAATTGATTTTTGGCTACATTAAAAGTCTTAACTACTTTAATTTTGTGTATGGACATTGTTCAGCAAATTCACAGTAGATGCTAGACTTCTGCACAATTTCTCCCTTGTAAACAAATTAGTATGAATTAAAATCGTTCATTTCTATCTTGTTTCTGTAGAATAGTGTAAAAGACTATGAGAACTTTGACATCAAAACTCCTTCCATGGCTTCTGGCTTTAGGAAGTTGCTTTAGATTTCAAGGGGGGAATCTTGTCCTCAATAGCAGAGCTGTAGCATTTGTTCAGGAATTCTACACCTCTCTTTCAGTCCAGTTACCACATACAGTAATCATGCTCATGGAAATGATGTAGGAGAGACTTTCTGAGCATGCCTTCCAGTGATAAGTAGGGTTCTTTGCTGAATAACCAAAGAGAAGCCAGGGAAAAATGTTAATTGCACTGCAGCTATATTTCTTTCTGGATGCTTTTACTGCATCACCTCACCCTTTTCACTCAGCCAGTGATATCAGCTTTGAATGCCTGTTTGTGCACTTCTTTCTCAATTGCCTTTGCATTTCCTCTCAAGCTGCCCTGTATAAATGGACTAATCTGAACTAATCTGTAAAACCACTACCTTCTCTTTCAAATCTGTCTGCGGGACTTGCATCTGTTACGACACCTGCAAGAAGCCAGCTGACCACTGATGGTTAGTATGAGTGGCAGCTAATATTAAGAATAATTTTAAATGGTTTTTAATGGCTTAACCACATTTATGCATGAACATAATTTATATAACAGTGTGATATTTGTGTTGTTATTTACATTACTGTAGTGCCCTAGTTCTGCCGTCCTCTTCCCTCTCCGTGATTGATGTGCTTACTTATTAGGCTTTGATGTTTTAATTAGATTATTAACTGTACATTATGGCCACAGTTTACAAAACAAGGGGAAGTTGAGTCATCAGGAAAAACACACCTATGTTGGAACAGTACTTAACGTATTTGCTGGTTAATTTCTTAGATTAAACAAAAGCATTGGCAAACGCAAGTCATAAGTTCACACTTTAAATAGTAATATTGGTCTTAGTTTTCAAACTCATGTGCCTAAATCTGATACCTCAGAGTCCTTTTTGGTGCTTAAATAAATGCCCATTTTAGGCACTTACTATGGGAGCTGACTAAGGGTGTGTCTAGACTACAGAGTTTTGTCGACAAAAGTGGACTTTTGTCAACAAAACTATACCTGCGTCTACACTACCGCTGAGTTCTGTCTACATAATGTTGACAGAACTCAGCAGTTTTGTCGACGCTGGTAAACCTCATTTTACGAGGCATAACGCCTTCTGTCGACAGAGTTTCTGTCGGCAGAAGGTGTTATTGCATGTAAACTGTCCTTTGCGTCTACACTACCATGTCGACAAAGCAGCTTGCTTTGTCGACAGAACTCAATGTAGTCTAGATGCTCTTTGTCGACAGAAGCCTGTAGTCTAGACATACCCTAAGCAATGTATTTCAATGACTCATCAACTCATCATATAGATTTGGTAACATGTTGGACAGTTTTTAAATTGCTGTAAGATGAGGCAAAGTAATTCAGTCAATAGATCATCATCATCTAGGAGTCAGGTTCTGTTCCCTGGCTCTTTTGCAAGGTAACTTTAGAGGAGTCATTTCAGATTTGTGTACCTCAATTTTTCCATCTGTAAAATGGGAGTGATGATACTGACCTGCTTTTCAAAATGCTTTAATATACTGATGAAAGTGTTATACAAGAGTGTTATATATTATTATTATTACCTTGAAGAAAAGTGCTGGTTGATTCCTGGTGGAATCCCTCCTGGTGCAAGGCAGGTGGGAGGAGTTCTACCAAGGCTCTAGACAGAATGGACTCAGGGAAGAACCCTAGTCACAGTTGATTTCCAGTATGGGCTGAAGGTTTGCATTGCTAATTCTTTTATTAATATTAATTTCTACATAAATAAAGCCACAATCAAAAGGAGGGTGGGATTTTACTGTATTTAAATCTGTACACTGTGTTTTGGTATAGGATGGGAAAGTCACCTGCTTAGAATGCCTAAATACAAATTAAAGTTTCTACTTCAGGCCTTCAAATTTGAAAATTGGACTTATTGTTATTGGTGACATTGAGGCAGAGAGGAAAATTGACATGCCCAAGAGCACAAAGTCAGTCTGGGTGAGCGTAGGGATTAGAATGCAGGATTTTCTTATTCTCAACGGAAGGCTCATACCATTGGATCAGATCTCACTACGTGTATACATCAATGAGTAAATGATAAATTACAAAATGTATCCAGATCAGTTTTTGATTGGCTGCCTTGGTTCTGTCTAATTTTCACTAACATTTACAACAGATGCTTTCAATACATTTTAAATTACACAGCAAATGTTATATTAATAATAATCTAAATAATTCAATAATATATAAAACTGTACAAAAGTGAGCAGCCTCCTAGGATATATTAGATAAATAAAACATGCCTTAAAAAGGGATGTCAGTGTTAGAAGACAGGCACCTGTGCAAATATGAGAATAATTGTTACATCTCTTTGTTTTATAGTTTTATTTCCTTGGCATTGTATTTTATTTGGGCTCCAAATTCAAAAGGAGTTGGAAAGGGTATACATTTAAAAAAGGCTTGTTTTAACTCTGATTAGTGCTTTATGTGTCAATTCATTTGCAAAATATTCTCCTGGAAAACAGTTTGTACCAATTCAGAGGTTACTTCATTGCTGATTCTTGAAAGATCTATTCTGAGTAAAGCAAAAGAGCCACACGATTCATTCAGCTTGTGCAAAATACATCTTATCATGGTAGAAGAATTAAATATGGAATAGATAAAGGTTGGTTAAGCAACGTGTCATTAATCACTCTGTTAGAAAATGTGTACTTTGCAGGAGCACACTGTAATTTGCATCATTTTTGCTATGCCTTGCCAGCATGGCTGTTAAATAACAAACACATATGTATGAAAAGGATAGGTTTAAGATGAAAATAATTCCATCCAAAAACTCTGAGGATGATATGGAATCCTTTTGACTGCACTCGTTAAACTGGAGAACGCTGTATTTGTAATAAATTCTTTTTGCTCTAGATGAGTTCTGCATTTTCAATGAGGTTAACTTGGCAACATTCTAGTTGATTTTAATAAAAATAGCTGCTTTGAGGACAGGGAGCTGAGGTTGCCAAATTTACAGCTGCCTTGCACAATTACTCTTACACCTCCTTCAGGGCTACTTAGAACCAGTAAGCAAATTAAGTGTATCGATTGCAATTTTGTTGGACTAAACCTTTTTTTTTTTTTAAGGAATAAACTTGATTCCTTTCAGTATGTGTCTGCTCAGAGTGATCTCTTTTCTTTTCAGCCATAACACAAAGACAACATCATGGCTGGATCCACGACTTGCGAAAAAGGCTAAACCTCCTGAAGAGTGCAAAGAAAATGGTAGGTTATTAAGTTTTCATTGCTCCTCAGAAAGGATTTGTCTTTGTATGTGTGTTTCTCTGTATTCTTGAAAAAGGAAGGCATTTTAGGGAATGATGAAAGGTGTTTAATTGCTGCTTTGGTTATAAGCTGTAAGTGATAGTGTTCTCAACGTGCCATGTGTTTCTGCTTTTTTTATTCCCACTTTTTGATGATATCCAAAGACGAGGATTGCAAGCGTGTTTTATATCTGTTTTGTTTTTGGCTCCTTGACTGACCTCTCTCCCTTGCCTCCTACTGAGAACTTTCGTCCGTAGAACAGAATCTCTTTTAAGATTCTGAGCTTTCAGGCTACAAGAAATGCAGTGCACAGGGGAAACAAACTGCATCTCAATAAATGAATATTATTTGATTTGATTTTAAATCCAAAACAGTGTCTGATAGAACTGAGTGGGAGGGGGGAAGAGAACAGCCACTAACATGATACCAGGCCAAATATTTGGCAGTGCAATGAAAATGATTTTAAAAAATAAAACCGGAAATAAGATTGGAGCCATTTAGAAATATACTTCTTACGAAAAAAAACCACCCCAAATCGTATATTTTGGTTAAAAAATGCATCAACTGCAAGATATAGCTCTTATCAAACTGTATATCTTTATGAACACTCTATATGTTTGTCAGATTTTCTATAGTAAAGTTTCTGTCATTAAAACAATTTAATAACAGTTACATTAATAAATGCATGCTAATGAATATTTGTCATTGATGGCTGATTTTAATTGTCGTTTATGTCAGTGTTGTTGAAACTAAGCAAGTATCACAAGGTGGGAAGGTAGTGATTTATTATTATTACTATTTATTTATTTATTTATTATTATTGCTATTTATTTATTTATTTATTTATGACTATAGAAAAAGATACAGGGGATTTTATACTTGTTTTATATTTACATTAGTTTAAAACTTATTTTGTGAATATTTAATGTATTAACATAAAATACTAGCTGTTTTCATACAACTCATTTGATTTATGTGAAACTGCCTTATACCTAGTATTGATTAAGGTAAACATTATAAGGAGAAGATTAATTTTATGCCATTTTGTGCTTGTAAAAGACAGAGAATCATTGATGAATATTTGGGTGTATGTAAGGTCACAGGTATGGTGCAAAATGTTCTCCTATTTTATGTAAACTTGTGCAGTGTATAAGTATACATTCATTCCAACAATCCTTCCCCATCTGCAGTTATTCTGACTTTTTCTTCTAACATTAGAAATATAACAGCTGGATAATTTGTGATACATTTATTCCTGCATTGAAAATGCTAACTCCCCATGCCTTATTGCTACAATGCATACAGTAGAAGTGATACTAACACAAAATAAGGGGACTTGAGTTTTGCATTAGAAATGTGCTTCACACCTGGTACGTGTATGACATATTATTTCCCAGTGCTTAGTAGTGCATTGTCTTGAGTTAAAACAAAAAACAAAACAAAACCAAGCTAGGCAGTAATGTATCAGACACTGGAGGTAACAAATATGTTTTTTCTACTAGTTGTAATTCACCTAAACCACAACTATTTAAATGTCAAACACTGAAATAATTTCAGATACAAATTAATACAGCAAGTTAAATAAATAGGATTATAAATAGCTTTATTTTACAGCTATTTGACTACAGTGTTATTGTATGACTATAGCATTCTGGGTTCCTCTCTCTTTTAAGAGTTGCACAGCTCATTAATGTAAAGTACTTGAAATGAAGCATAAAAGATTTTAGGGAGAGATCACTGATGTAACATGCACAATTTTCCTGTAGTTCTTTGATTGCTCAAGATAGGAATGGTTTAGTTTCTTTAATTCTTTGAATCTCCACACAAATACAGGCCCCTCAAAATGTCAGAGGCTTGTGAGGAGTGTTACCAACTTGCCATTAACTTCTGACATTGGGGAGTTTAATGTAGCACACAAATATTTTTTTTAAGATTTAATGCCAAATTAACTGTATACTGGTTTCAACTAAAGCTGTGTAAATTTGATTTATGCCAAAGAGATTGCTCTTTACTGTTTATGATCTAAAGTTCACTTCTAGGTGGAGATTCAGACTTCTGGAAAGTTAGTGGAGTTTAAACAGGAAATAATACTTACCTTGTTTCTATATTGTTGTTATTTTCAGGGAGGTCATGTTTCTGAAAGTTGCTTTGTCACTCACGGTTTGTACTTTATTTTATTGCGGTTAGAATTTGCATTGACTAAATGGGTTGTAATATGCTGGTCATACCATATAACCAGTTCTGTAAGCAATTCTTCAGGCCACCATCTCTGCCACTCTCAACTTCTTCCTTCCTGTTCTTTTGCTGCATGTGCTGAAACCCACCACTCCAGACTTTCTGTCACCCTTGATTCTTTTCGACCCCTTTTATACCATAGGATTTCACGAGGGTTTCCTCCATGGCAGACATAGTCTCTCCTCTACTTTCAGCTGTTCTACGTTCTTTGACAAACACCATTAATTCTCCACTCATCATTGTAAAATGTAAAATGTTCTCCCATAGACACTTTCTCTAGCTCTGTACAGAGTCTCAATGACCTTTTCAGTGAAAATGTCAAGATCTACCAAAACTGAAAAAACAACAAATAGTCTGGTAGCACTTTATAGACTAACAAAACATGTAGATGGTATCATGAGTTTTCGTCGGCACAGCCCACTTATTCAGATGACCGGACTGTTGGATGTCTGGGACCAAAATAACTAGGAGAGACGGGAGGGTGGGGTAGAAGAAGGGAAAATTGGGAGGAGGGACAAGAAAAGGCAGTGCATAAAAAATATATCAAGGGAAAGCCGAGTCTATAAGCACCTAAAGACTAGATAGTCTAAGGGGGCAGATAAGAACCATTAAGTAGCAAACAACAAAGAGTCAGGAAACACTTAAAGACTGATGAAACATCTAGATGGTATCATGAGATTCTTCAAGATCCACCAAGACAACCTTCCCTCTTTCTTGTCCTATGGCTTCCTGCTCACTCTTCTCCTATATTTCCACCTGCTACTCAGTGCCCATCAGAGAGGCAGTGTGAAGACCTAACATCTATGCTTGTCTGTGCCCCAACCTTCTGTGTGACCTTGGGCAAGTCACTTCACTTCTTTGTGGCTTTATTTCCCCTTCTCTATCATATCGATTTCAATGGTAAATTCTCTAAGGCAAGGAATGTCATTGTGTGTGTAAACATTGCCTCATAGTTGGGGCCTGACCTCTGTTGAGAGCCTCCAGATGCTACTATAATACTACTAAATAATGATGGTCAGGAATTTACCATCACAAATCATTATAACAAAAAAGGTAGTTTCTGCAGAATTTAAATTTTTCATAGAACCAGAGAATTTGCTGAACCAAGGAAGGTCAATATTCTCTAGCAGCAATACCAACACTTTCTCTGATTACCAGGCTCTTAGAAGACAGTTAGGGGTGAATTATTGCTAATAAAAGCACAGGACATTGAGGCTTCGTCTACACTGCAGAGTTTTTGTGCAAGAAGCCTTTTGCAGAATAGATCTTCCATAAAAACTTCTTGCACAAAAGAGTGTCCAGACCTCAAAGCGCATCGCAAAAGCAATGTGCTTTTGCTCAAGAGAGCATCCACACTGCATGGACGTTCTTGTGCAAGAAAGCTCTGAAGGCCATTCTGGGAATGGCCATTAGAGCACCCGTGCTTTTGCCAATAGGGGTTTCTTGTGAAAAAAACCCTCCGGAGCGTCCACACACCTGCCTTTTTGTGCAAGAGATGTAGCACAAAAATGATTTATTCCTCATTGGGAGAGGAATAATTCCACCAGCAAAAGCCTTCTGTTCTACCAATTTACTTGCACAAAAATGGACGCTCCACCGATTTTTACGCAAAAACCTGTCAAATTCATAATCTCTTAAATAATGCTGTTTTTCAGTACATCATTAGGCACTTGACAGAGGGCAGCATCATAATTTCCAATTTATAAATGGGGAAACTGAGATGCAGGCTGGGGAAGTGACCTATATTTTCTCTGCAGAGTCATGGGAGTCACATAATTCTGGTGCTTCCTAGGAGAGAGAATCTGGCCACTGAGCCTTGAGAGAATGAGGGGAAGCAGATATACATATCTCAGAAGTTACAGGGCTTTTCCCTTCACCCTCCCACTTCCCTGATTCTTCTCACACAAACAGGGAGTCATAATAGCTGATGTCTGAAGTAACTTTTTCCCCAGCTTACTTCCTCTTTGCTCCCAATTTATATAGTAGTGTACTCAGCTATACTTTAACCAATCATTTTACTGAAAATTTACTAACCAATCCTAACATATTGCAACATAATTTTCTGACCAATTATATCCCACCGGGACTTGTGTTTTGGATACTTGTATTTGTTCTAGAAATGCCTTCATTCCTCTCTTCTTTCCGATTTGGTAGCCTGTGATAGAACTCCCTACTGTGACATTGCCTCTGCTTTTCCCCTTTTATTTTTATTTATTTTATATTTATTTTAATTTATTTTATTTTTATTTTTAGTGAGAGACTTACAACTGGTCTGAGCCTTATCTCTTTCTGGACCTCAGAACAAGTGTTTCTATTATTGATGTTTAATGTCCACTTCCTCCCTTTTCCCCATCCTGTACATGCTTCCGATATTCCAGTTGTAGCCCCTCCTCCTGTTCACTAGCCCATATGAGGTTGCTCAAGATAGGGGAATCCTGCCTTGTGAATTTTTTACACTACTTGGGGAGTCTTGGCCTGAGGCGCCATAGTGTGGTCTGCATTGTGTGTCAGTGTGTGTTCACTTCAAATCAGATCCACTCAGACAATCCACCCAGAATGGGTTTTTATTCTGTAAAGAACATAGAGTATGATTACAGTTCAGCCTCTTCTCTGTTTGCCTGCTATTTACTCCCAGTTCAGTCTGTAAGCCCCTCCTACTAGGATAGCAGAGGGTACATTGTACAATACAACACCCCCCCCCACAAACATGTAATAACTCCCACAGT